AATCGTTTTAGCCCTAATATTTCCAAGCGGAAAAGCTTCCACCCATTTCGTGAAACAGTCCGTAACCACAAACAGATATTTATTTCCCGAAGAAGAAGTTGGAAGGGGACCAAGAACATCCATTTGAATTCTTTCGAAAGGCGCACTAACATTGTAAATTTGCAAAAAAAACTTTCCTTTTTCAGATGGCCCTCTCTTTGAAACGCAAACTTTACAAGTCCTACACCAATGTTTGACATCCTGCTTACAGAAAGCCCAATAAAAATGTTTCCGGATCTTCTCTAAGGTCTTATTGACACCAAAATGGCCACCTGTGGAAGAATCATGAGCTTCTTCTAAAATTCGCGAAATCATTCTTCGAGGAACTATAGTTTGAAAAACAACGGAACATAAATTTGGAGACTCCTATTTCCTACACAAAATCCCGTCTTTAATCACCAGGGAATCCCATTGGAGCCAATAGTCCTTAGCAGTCGAATCTCTCTGAGCTATTTCTTGACGAAGAGGTCGCCTATTCTCCTCTTTTCTACGATAAATTCCTACAATTGAAGGGTCCTCCAATTGCATTCTTTTTTAGTCCGCAGATTCAATTTCTTTGAAAATTATTCTTCTAACATCTCCCCTTACAATACTTTCTTCCCCCATCTCCACTTTATCACAATATCTGCAGTTTCCTTCCGCACACAGACGCCTAGACAACGCGTCAGCGTTTGCGTGCACTTTTCCTGCTCGGTGCTTGACTACGAAATTAAATTGTTGTAGGCGTTTCATCCAACGTGTTAACTGCCCTTCTAGAATCTTAAAAGACATCAACCAGCGTAACGAAATATGATCCGTTCTTACCGAGAATTCACGTCCATATAAATAGTGATGGAAGGTCTTCAAAGCCTCCACCAAAGCTAACAGCTCCCGACAAGTTACGCAATAGTTCCTTTCAGACTTGCTCAAAACCCGACTATAATAAGCTAAGACCCTCTCCCTACCATCCTGAATCTGAGAAAGTACCGCGCCCAAGCCGTGATTTGAAGCGTCAGTATCAAGAATAAATTCCCCTTTTTCTATTGGGAAAGCTAAAATAGGAGGAGAAATTAAGTTTTGTTTAAGCTTCTCAAAAGCTTCCTGACAACGCCCATTCCACACAAATTTTCTAAGATTTTCAGTTAAAGAAAATAATGGCTTAGCAATAAGAGAAAATCCCTTCACAAATTTTCTATAATAAGAGCAGAGTCCCAAGAAGCTTCGCACTTGCTTCTTATTTTGAGGAATAGGCCACTCTTGAACGGTCTTAATTTTCTCCAAATCAGTGGAGATTCCTCTTTCTGAAACGACATGGCCTAAGTATTTCACTTCTCTCCCGAAGAAAGTACATTTTTTTGGATTGAGTTTTAAATTTGCATCTCGTAAACGAAGAAATACTTCCCTTACATTTGCCAGCATTCCCTCGAAAGTTTTACTATAGATGATGACATCATCCAAATAAACCATACAGATCTTATTCAATATCTCACGAAGAACCTGCTCCATCAATCGCTCAAAAGTAGCAGGAGCATTACATAATCCAAATGGCATTACAGTAAACTGCCATAAGCCATTTTCTGTAGAGAAGGCCGTTTTCTCCCTATCCTGAGGACGAAGCTTCACCTACTAATAGCCGCTTTTTAAATTTAAGGTGGTGAACCAGGAATTTCCGGATAAACGATCAAAAAGATCATCTATCCTGGGAATAGGATAAAAATCTTTTTCTGTAATGGCATTGAGCTTCCTGAAATTGATACAGAATCTAATTGTTCCATTTTTCTTTTTAACTAAAACAGCTGGAGAAACCCAGGCGCTATGAGATTCTTCCATGACACCACGTTGTTTCATTTTGTTTAAAATATTTTCCACCTCTTCTTGCATATGCAGTGGAATTCGCCTAGGAGCCTGTTTAATCGGAAAAGAATTTTTCACCCTAATAGCATGCTCAACGACGGAGCAAATTCCTGCAACCACATCTTCCGAAAAGACATCTTGAAACTCGATCACCAATTCAGCAAACTGGTCCTTTTGAGAAGCGTTGAGAGTTTCGGAATTTTTCTCACAGAATTTCTTAAGAAAAAAAGGAATCCCCCTATCAAAACTACAAATTCGGGAACAGAAAAAGTTTTCTTGATTCTCTGACACCGTTTCCTCAAAAACCGAAGAGAAAACGCTTCCCACCCCTATTTTTGAAAGAAAGTCCGCTCCTAGAATACACTCGTCTTTTATGGCCGCTATGATTACCAAATGAAAATCCAAAGAAAATTTCCCTATTTCGATTCCAACCACCACTCTATGTTTTACAGGAACCGTTTCTTCCGTTGGATAGGTCAAGAAATATCTCTCTACAGGAATGGGTGATTTCAAAGGACCTAACAAATCTTCCCTAAGTACCGACACATCGGAGCCCGTGTCTATTCTAAAGACGCAAGTCCGGCCATTAACTCGGCCGCGAAAACAAAAATCACTTAACCCGTTACTTATCCTACTTAATTTCGCAGGGTCTTTGCACCCCTGAACCGAACATGCCCCGCTGAGCTCGGCTATTCCGAGTTTCCCTTCTCTTCCGTAGTTAGAGAAGGGCACTCCGACCGAAAGTGCCTTTTGGCACCGCACTGCCAGCACTCCTTTTCCTCACGCCCGAATCTCGTCCTGAAACCCGAATTCTTCTTAAAATTTACAGAACTCTTTTCATCTTTCTCATTCCCCGCCGATTTAATTTTGTTCCCAGCTCTGCCTTTTCCGAGATCTCTACTTTCAAATTTTCGCGAAAAACTATTCGCTTGGATGACTTTTATTGCCATAGCCCTCTCTATAGCGGCTCTCAAGGAAGTTAATCCCTCTAACTGAAAAGTTCGTTTTACGAAACCGTCAGAAAGCGCCGCAACAAACTGGGCGCACGCAATCTTATCCCGCACCTCGGCCGAGCATTCCGAATAGGCCAAACGCGCTAAACGTTCTAAATCCGCTCCCAAAACGGGCAGATCTTCTCCGTGTTTTTGTCTCCGATTAGTGAACTGGGTGTAAAACGTTTGAGACATATGCGCTTTGCCAAAACGCAACTCTAACCTAGCCTCTAATTCAGAATAGCGAAGGCTCCCGAATTCGGTTACCCCATCCAATACGGCACGCGCTTTCCCTCTTAAGCTCGAGGCTAAAGCCACGGTTCTCGAAGATTCCTCCCAGCCATTCGCTTGCGCAATTAAATTGAACTGTGCTAAATATTCGCGCAGAGGAACACTCCCGTCGAACGTGTCGGGCTTTAATTTATAACCGAGCGACGTCTCACTCGAACCTCCACACGCGGTGCGCCCCGCACACGCGCCCTCACCCGCACCTATCTCACGCGTCTTTTCATTTGGAATTTCGCCGCGAGAAACATTATTGGAGGGACTTAGCTGATGTACGACAAGTTTCTCCTGAAGACGTGCCACCGCAGCGTCGCGTTCCTTCAGGCGAGCCTCCAACTCGCTGCGGAAAAGCTGTTGCTCCTGCTGCTCCAGCCGCCGCTCCTGGCGCAGCTTTTGAAGCTCCAAGTAGACAGCTTCGAAAGCGCCCGCCTCTGCCTCCGTCGCCCCCGCATCCTGCGGATGGGTCGCGCCCGCCTCCGTTGTTGCCGACGCCGCGGCCAGCGAACGGGTCCTCAGCGAGGTCCTGTGCGTGGTCATCATCCTGTTCGGGATACTGCGTTCGTCGCCTCGTATCCCGGACGAGCCCCCAAAATGTTACGCTCGTCGAGTAAGCTCGCCGTCGTAACACTATCGCGCACTCCACACTCGCGCACGTATTTCGCAGAACTCGCGAAAGAAAAGAGAACTCAAAAGAACTTAAGAAATACGTGTATTCCAAGCTCGTAAAACAGAACGCGTGCGGATTCCAAAAATCCGCCAGACAGAAAATCAATAAATCCCTCAACAAACTCCCGTTGTCAAAGAGCGCGCTTCACAGCTTTCCGCGACTTCTCTACTCAGTGTCCAGCACGGGCGTAACAATATAATACTCATGTCTTAAGATTGTGCGATATTAATTTTAGTAATAACATATATGTGTACTGGTATATAATAATATTAATAATAATAATATTAAAAAAATTTTGTACTATTTATTTTATATTTACATAATAAATACATATTAGCATTACATTTCACAATATGACACGTGTGTAATCAATCGATCAAATGTTTACGTGTAGTTAAAATCTTGATTTTGTCCTCTTGTTATATAATCATGCTGCTAATTGATCATTCCATTTGGAGTCATAAAATAATTGCAAAGAGAGTCTTTAATGTGCGTCGCAAATGCAACATTTTCGTTATTTTCAATAATTTCATCATTGTTTTCAAATTGTAAAATATTACCTTCTTTGTTTCTTAAGAAATTGTGCAAACATACAGTTGCCAAAATATATTTATTGATATTTTCAGGAATCGCAGCGATCGGTCTGTTATACCTATATACCCCACTTTTTTGCCAAAATCCCAAATGTATTTTCTATTATACGCCGGGCTCGCGAAAGTCTATAATTAAATATGTTTTTACGTTCCCCCAAATACCGTCCAGCATATGGCCGCATCAAATGCTTTCCAAAGGGGAATGCTTCATTCCCAATAAAAAAATAAGGCACTTGTATTTCGGTTCCGCTTAAGCAACTGGTTCCTTCTGGAATATCTAGCATCTCATTCGTCACATTCAAGTAGCTGTTCCCATAAATTCCCGCATCACTGTTCTTCCCCATTGACCCAATATCCACCAAAGTGAATTGATAATTGTGATCACACACAGCCAAAAGTACGATGCTGTATCGTATGTGATAATTAAAGTACAGCGTACCAGAATTAGGGGGGCATTGAGCATTGACATGTTTTCCATCAATTGCCCCCAAGCAATGTGGAAAATTCCATAATGTCCAAAAACCTTCAGCAATTTGTAAATATTCTTCTCTTGAAGGAGTTCGTTGATAGATAGGACCAAGAAGTCTTTTAAATACGTCACACGTCTCTTTAATTATTTTATGTACTGTTGATAAACCAACACGATAGGCAAAAGCAACTGCTGGAACTTTGTCTCCAATCAGAAATCTGTAACATCATTATCAATATTATAATATTAATTGCCAAACTGTTTTTACACATATGTATTGTTAGACTACGAGTAATAACCGAACATATACCGCAATGTAAAAGCAACTCTTTGCTCTGGTTCAAGTGCCCGTGGACTTCGTTTCATTAAACTTGGATTAACAATGTCCATCAAGTGCTGGAATGTTGGCAGTGTGTATACTTGTGGAACATTTGCTCATCTGTTTTCATCTCCTGAAAAAGATTGTAAAACGCTCCTTGCTGTCTTCTCCTTGTGTTAAATGGTCGTACCCAGACACGCCGACGGCGACGATGACGTTCACGGTTTCTACGACGTTGCACCAAAAGTGCTCCCATGTTGACCAGAGCAATTAACAACAAATCGAAATCATCCATTTCTGTGAAAAGACAAATGTAATTCAATCTAATGCAGTCTTCTCGAATTAAAATCACATTCAGAATTGTATGAATTAATTGCAAAAACGTTAAAGAATGGCCAAACAGTGCAAACATCAAATATCAAAATAAGTGAAAAATGTTCAATGATACATACAAATAATAAAGTATTATTCGAGAAAATTAACCAAATCAAGAAAATGTTTTAATAATGAATTTTTACACCTAAACTGTATATGAAACTTACGGAAAATTATAAGATGCGTTTATTTTGTAATAAATTACAATTTCTGGTGATCGCCTCGGACTCGACGACGTCTCGCTATCCGTTTTCGGATCTTGCGCCGATTTAATTTTCGACGCGTCTTTATTCGAGTTTGCTTGCGTCTTGTTAGTCGCGGAGCTCTGAGCCTTCAGAGTAGAAAGCAATTTGGATACTTCTGCACTGATATCAATTTTGCTCAGATCACCTAATTTGTTCACAATAGCGGCCGGCTGGGGTACGTTGGACACGGATGTCGCAGGCTGGAACTTCTCCTTGATAACGAGAAATCAAGAGAATGTTTTAATAATAAATTTTTACACCTAAACTGTATATAAAACTTACCGAAAATTATGAGAAGATGCGTTTATTTTGCAATAAATTACAATTTCTGGTGATCGCCTCGGACTCGACGACGTCTCGCTATCCGTCTTCGGATCTTGCGCCGATTTAGCTTTCGACGCGTCTTGATTCGAGTTTGCTTGCGCCTTGTTGGTCGCGGAGCTCTGAGCCTTCAGAGTAGAAAGCAATTTGGATACTTCGGCACTGATATCAATTTTGCTCAGGTCACCTAATTTGTCCAAAATAGCGGCCGGCTGGGGTACGTTGGACACGGATGTCGCAGGCTGGAACTCCTCCTTGATAACGAGGTTTTGCGTCTTCTCGATAGGCTCGATTTCGTCTTTCGAACTATCCACTATAGTAAGATTACCTCCCTCGTCATCATCATCATCGTCCTCGTCATCCGAATACC